GGTTCTCCCGCCCATCCTGCAAGGTAGGGCTCAGAGCAATGCCTCCTGGGAGTCATGTGACCGACAGAGAGAGGGGTTTTAGGAGCAAGCAGACCAGGTTATAACACAGCTTCATGAACACTGGCGGTATGAACTTTAACAAACCCCTTTTTTGTCTCTACAACTAGAGCCATCTCCCCCGCTGCACCCAGTGGAGGCGAGAATTAAATGAGATAAAGTAGACGAAGCACCTAGGGGTGCCCCCGGCGCACAGTGGGAGTGCAGTTTATGCTGACTTCCTTCTACCATTATCTTCTCCCTGACCTTCACGAATGAAGAGGCGGTGTGGCACAGCAGCATCGATTTTCATATACGACACACAGAGTCTTCAATTCTCTCTGTCACTCAACAGCCACATGGCCGTGGGTGACCAGAACTCTCTGAGCCTGAGCTTCCTCACTCATGAGAGAAAGTTTTTCTTGCAGGGTTGCTGCAGAGATCCGAGATAACGTAGCTTGAAGCATTTGCTCGACAGAAGGTGGTTCTTACTGGTTTTCACGGCTTCTCCTCACTCCCCCGATGTGAGAGGCACCACACCCCACGTGTGGGAGAATCTGAGATGGAGTGGGAGGAGCAAAGGATGACCTTGTATTCTCAAAGCCGGTGAAAATCACTTCTTGGAGGGGGCGAAAATTGGTTCTGCAAGGGGTGGTGTCAGGGCTGGGCTCTAAGATACCCCAATGGTTTCTGGTTCCTCAAAGGGCCAAGGTATGTAAACAGACATACAGTGTACCTGTGGGGAGGGAGGGTTTGCCACGTAAGGAGGAAAATGTCTAAAAGGCCCCTTAGGAGGTAATTAAACAAACAAAAAAAAAAAGCTGAGAAACACCGTTATATACAGACCAGAAACACCCGCGAAGCAAAGGAAATGTTTGATGGGGAAAGCAACACTCCACATCTGGATCAGCAGGAATGCCGGTGGGGGGAGGTGGTGAAAGCAGGTGGAATTCAATCCCTACCCCCACCCCACCCATCCCACCCCCTGCTGGTGCACAGCGGTTTTTGTTGCTGCTGTCACTTTTATTGGGTTGGTTTGTTTTTTAAAGAAAAGGAGTTAACATATATTGAATACTTATATGCTAGAAAGTGTACTTGGCATACATACATATATATTACTCCAATGTGATCATGAAATAGGTTTCAGTTTAACAGATGAGAAAAATAAGGTCCTCTGAAGTTAAGCAAAACTTAATTAAAGTTAATTGCAAAGCCCCTGTTCTTTGTAGAGTGGCCATCCTCCCGAATTGCCCTGGACAGTACCTCATTATGCCTGGTGTCCTGGAGTCATTAAAGAGCACCGCTTTTCACGCTCATAAGTGTCCGGATTTGGATAATAAATTAAATAGCACGTTACATTGCACCTACATGTTGCCCTGTCCATCCCTCCAGGAAGGTCCACAGGGAGGGTCCAGAATCAGAGCGATCCGGAATGGCCTCAGCAGAAGAGGCAAAGAAGTTCCCACGGGAGAGGAGGATGGGCAATGAAAAGAAAGGGGCGGACAGGTCTGAGAGGACTCCCATGTTGAGAAATCGCAACATGCCTCACTTTTGGAACCATCCTGCAAGAGGCCCCGATGCACACGGGGACTTTTCGGAGCTCAGAGAAAGGCAAAACCGTATGTGATCCCAGAATTGGGTGCAGGAGTTCCAGCTTCTAATGGACCGCATTCTGGGGAGGCCCACCGACACCCAGGGGAGGCAGACGAGGAACCCGAAGAAGCCCTGGCCAGGGCCTGGTTGCCATGGCGCCACACCTTGCCCGGGGACCCTGCAGCCTGGGACTGGAACAGGGAGGGTTTGGTGCCAGCAAGCCTCGTGTCCTGGGCGCTGGATCAAAGCCCTGCCGCCCACCCCCTACCCAACATCTGTGTGGACCCTTGCAGGGTCCACAACTGGACATCTGCAGGTTCAAGCAGGAAGTTGAGGCTGCTGGAGACATTCTATTTGTGCCTGCGTCTGAATAATTTAACACTCCCTCCAAAATAGACGATCATTAGAATTTGTCAATTCCTGTGCATTTGAGCAGACAGCCGCAAAAAAAGAAAAAAAAAGAGAGAAAAAGTTCTCACACAAACTGCCTCCGATCAGTGGAGTGGGAGGGAGGCAGTTCACTGTTGTTCTTTTTTCTGGCGTCAAAGCCCCTTGCTCACCGGTGCACTTGACCCAATAGGAAATGCTGCCCTTCCTGTCTCATCAGCACTAAACCAAGGCGGCACAGGGGCACGGGATGCAGGGTAAAATGCCTGGTTCTTACAGAGTCACGGGTGTCCACTTCCACCTTCGCCACCTATTCTATGTGACCGCTTTCAAGTCACTTAACTTTTGTGACCCTCAATTTCTCCATCTGCAATGTGCGAATCATAAGATGGCCTCCCTCGTGGGCTTCTGTATAGTATTAAATGAGCCAGGGAGGGTAAGCCACCTCTCTCAAGGTCTGGCACACGACAGAGACCCCATAGTCTTTAGTCTCCTAGTCCTCATTATGCACTGACCTCAAGTGAAATGGTGCTAGTTCCCATGAGGCACCGCAGACAGGAACAGTTTCCAGCCCTGCAAAAACCCCCTTTCTTTTTGCCCATTGCTTAGGCTGCCAAGGCTCATGGTATAAAGCAAACATATATATAGGATATATATAGGTATATACACATATATACCTACACGTATATACACACACACAATACACGTATATGTAGACACACACAAGTATGCTCACCAGCTCAACCTCCAATACAGACGTCAAATCAACTCAGCTCAGTCCTGCCTGTCAATGTTGGTACAGCCTTGATTGGGTACCTAGCTCTATTCCCCATGAGGATGCTTACAAACCTTTTCCATGCAGCTCACCCTATTTCCCTTCCCTCTTCCTTCCTGGCCTATGTAGACTTCTCTCAGAATGTCTCCAGGCCCCTCCCCTCCTCCTCTGTCTGCCTCCACAGCATCACTACCCATTTCTAAGGCTCACCCTGTGCTCAGCCCCAGCCCCTCCCATTGGTTCCCGAACTTGGCTCCATCCACCACCTCCTCCTTTTGCGTCTTCAAGCTTTTCTGCCTCACATTCTTCCTTTTTACCCTGTAAAAATGCTCAAATAGAGCACAATCAGAAAACATTTCTTGCGACTCTCCTTCCCACGAACTCGGGCCACATTCTCTCCTTCCTCCTACCACCAAACATCTTAAGCGGTGTCTGGATTTACCGGCCTGTGTCCCTCACATACTCATTTCTTCGTTCCTGGCACTGCGGCTCTTGTTCTCACCGCTGCGCTGGCAGCAAGTCCTTGAGACGCACCCGTTGGTGGGTCCTAATTACCATTCAGGCGCCCCTTCTGGGTCCCCATCCTCCTGGCCCCTTCCTGGTCAGAACTCTCCTGCTTCGGGGTCCATGATACCGCTCTCTGCCAGCCATCCTGCTGCCTCCCTGAATGCTGCTTCTCTCTCCCCTCCCCTACTCCTCACCCTCCACCTCCATTGTAAATGGCAATGTTCCCTATGGTTTGATGCACAGCACTTTTCTCTTCTGCCTGGACTCTGCCTCCCTGGAAGATTGCAGCCACTTCTACCACACCACTTGACCCTGGCCTTGCCCCAGAATTTGCAATGAGCTCATGAGCCTGCCACCATGAGCACCGTGAGCTCACGAGACGTCCACCAGCCCCTGAAACGCCCAACATGGGATTCCTATTTCTCCAACACTCCTCCCATCCTCCCCCTACTTGCCCTAATCCAGGAACCTCTGCTGTCTGCCTGCTCCCTCTTTCCTCAGCCTGGCTTCCCATAATTGCCAAGTCCTAGCCATTCGGTCTCAGCATCATGACCTCCCCCCGGCTCCCCCTCCCCATCCAGGTTCAGGCAGTGACCTGCATGCACAACAACTGCCCACGTGGCCTCAGGCCTGCAGTCCCTCATCTCCTCAACCCACCCCCTCCCCTTGTGGCGAACCATCTCCTCGGAATGGCTGCTAATATGCGCTTCCTTTGCTGAGCTTTGCCAAGTACCAGTCACCGAGCGAAGCATTCTGCACGTGTTATCACACTGAACTCTCCCAAGATCGCTATGTGGGTACTGTTGCTGCCTCCATTTTCCAGATGACAAGCAGAGGCTGAGGGAAGTCATACTCACGAGCGCACAACTAGTAAGCGGCAGGGCTAAGACTCGAACCAGGGAACAGGACTAAAAGCACAAAGTCATACTGCCTCCAGCCACAGACCAATCAGACCCAAATAATCCCCCACAGAAGCCTTGAGTGGCTCCCTACTGCCTACCCATTTCCCCCCACCTGGTAGCCATCATCTGTGCCAGGCTCATCGCAGTAGACACTCCACACGTCACTTCCATTTGGGTTCTGTCCACCCTTGTAGCGACATCTGTGCACTCAGACCACGGTCCTCTTCCGAGCTTTTCCCAAACGTACGACACCTTTGCTGGCTTCGCCATCTCACTTGGCTCAGCCGCGATGCTCCCTCTTCTAATTCCAACTCCCGACAGTTATTTCTCCTTCTCCAGCACACCCAGCACTTTCCCTATATCTTTGCCAAGCCTTCATTTCAGCGTACCTTATGTGATGGCCATTTGCATGTTTATTTTGCCAGTTAGACTCCTATCTCGAGAGCAGATACCCTCAACATATATTCATCTCTGTATATGTCGTGTATCTAACCCAGGGCATGTTAAATATTCATGAGACGACTTGATCCCAAAGATCTCACATATGCACGGTCACTGTGATTCCGTTTACCCCTGTTTGAGAAGCAGCAGGACAAGAGGCTTGTACATGGCAACATGGGAATCGCATATTCAATCAGGTGGGGAGCAGGTGGGGTTCCAGACCCTGGGTCACTACCTGGTCCACTCACTTGTTCTGATTGTGCAGAAAAATCACCACTTACAAGCTGCAAAGTGAATTTTCAAGGGAAGAACAGAACAGCTTTCCCGTTCTGACACCTCCTCCTGCTCGCCCATCCCACCTTCTCGGAGAGCGGCCTCTGAGGATGACTCACTGGCGGGAGAGGGTGGAAACAGCTCCTGGGAGGGGCCGACAATTTCGCTAGACACACAGAAGGGCTGGCGATGCGATGTGTCCCCGCAGGGTGGAAGTGCAGCTTCTGCACAATCTCAGGTTTGATTTGAGCCCTTGGGATGAACCTAAGAAAGATAAGAGTGTTTTCAAGTGAATTCCCCTCCTTGTCTCCATGGAATGTGCTCGAACACCTGAGGGATGTTTTTCTCTGCAGAGCACCAACTGTCATTATTCCCTACCTCCTCCCAAGGCTCCTTCAGTCTGTAAGATGCATGTCACTTTAATGCATACAATGACAAAAAGCAAAGAAAAGCTCACAGAACCACTGAATCTGCTTAGCTTGGCAGAGTTAACATAGAAATCCTGGCAAACCCCTGGGACTATTTCTGCACCCCAATATGTAGAGGTTAAAGCCTGAACTCCACCAATAAAGGCATCGTGCCAGAGCCCAGCAGAACACTCAGGCCAAACGGCTCCCTCCCCTCCCCTCACCCACCCAACCTGTCCACAGTCATCTCACTCCCAACACACCCCAACATCCTTCCGGGCTGTGCCTGGCCCCATTCTGTGTCTGTTACGCCTCTGGATTATTTCTTTTCTTTCTCATCCTAGAAGCTATTTGTTCCATCGAAAGAGCTTTTCTTTTCCAAAATCAGGACTGTGTGGACAATCTGCTTTCTAAACACCGACCAAGCCTCTCTGCCGGAGGATGCAAGAAGAGTGGCTGGACAGCACCGTCAGCGTGTGGGCGCCCTCACACCGAGGGCCTGGCAGGATGGGCCTGTTCTGGAACGGCCACACAAATGGCACCGGTGATCTGTGTCCAGCCTGGCCTCTGCCCGTTGATTAGAACACCACAGAAATGCTGAAATTCACCTCCCACACTCCTCACCCCATCTCATCCACACTCTTCTCTTTTCTCTAAAGATGGACCTAAGCACCCAGAGGAAGGAGGGTAGAGAACATCTCATGAAAACTAGCCATGTGCCCAGCTCAGAGCTAGAAGCTTGACATTCATTCAGTCCTCATAAGAATCCTCCAAGGCAGGAGTGGTTATTATCCCATTATATAGAAGGAGGAACTGAGGTGAGCTCAGAGAGGTTAAGTAACTTGCTCAACATCACACAGCTAGTGATTGCTAGAGCTGGCATTTGAGTCCATAGCTTTCTGTTCCAAAGCCCATGCTATGTGGCCTACAGGACAAAGGACCAGACTGGACCACTCAACTGTAGACTCCTTGAGAACAAGAGCTACACCTTAAACCTCTCCATATTCCCCACAGCACTCACCAAAGAAAAGGCCCTCCATGGACAATGAAAGAATGGATGAATGAATGCATGCATGCATGAATGAACAATTCAATGAAATATGGGATTCTCCCACTTCCTTCTTGGGGTAGTTTGTAACCTGATTTGTTGATGACGTTTTACAAGAAAGCCAAAGGCAGAGCGACACCAGCAACCAAGGAATGGGAGCTTTTGAAGCAGACAGAGGAATCCCCGGCACATCATATGAAGATCTATACCTAGATGCTTTATTTTGACCTTCCCACTACCTGGGTGGGAAACTATATTCCCCCCTATGGTTCTCCACTTACTCCTCTTAATGGAAATATGCCTCAGTGTCCCTATGTGCTAGATGCATTGGAAAGGAAGCATGGTGCCGTGGAAGTGACAGGCTGCTAGCCAGAAGAGGTTCCAGTCCCGGGAAACTACTCAGGCTCTGTGAAGCTCAGGTTCCCTGACTTTCATGTGGGGTGGTAATACCCTCGTCCCTGCCTCACCAAGTAGGGAGGATCAACTTCCAAAAGTCAGAACGTACAGCCAACATGAAGCTTAGGCGTAACTAAGTTGACCAGCCGACCATCATCCAAGAGTGCTCCCAAAGGGTATGCCTTACCTCAGTGACGGTAACTGTCGGGGGCAGAATAATGGCCTCCCAAAGATGTCCACATCCTATCCCCTGCAACCTGTGAGTATGTCATTCCACACGGCAAAGGGACTTGCAGACGCGATTAAGTTAAGGATCTTGAGATGAGGAGACCGTCCTGGGTTATCTGAGTGGACCCATCATAGTCACAAGGATCTCCATAACTAAGAGAGGAAGGCAAGAGGGTCAGAGTCGGAGAGAAATTTGTTAATGGTAAGCTGCTGGTTTTGAAGACGGAGAAAGGGGCCACAAGCCTGGGAATGCAGTTGGCCTTGAGAAACTGGAAAAGGCAAGGGAACTTATCCTTCCCCAGAGCTTCCAGAAGGAACGCAGCCCTGCCAACACCTTGATGGTAGCCCAGTGAGACCCACTGCAGCCTCCGATCTCCGGCACTGTGAGACAGCAAATGCGTGTTGTAAGCCATTAAGTTTGTGGCCATTTGTTACAGCAGCAACAGGAAACTAACACAGCATCCCAACCCAAGGTCTGGAGCTCACCCTAAATCAGGTGTTCTCAGGCCTACAGCACAAGTCGCTCTCCACACCCAAGCATTCCAGACTGAGAGATCCACCAGAATGCCACTTTACTCCTTTGCAAGGATAGATCTACCTGTAAGACAGAATCCTCATCTTGGCATGACCAGCACCCTCTCCCCCGTTAGGCAGTCCAGCACGGGAAGCCCATGCATATTGGGAAGGATGCCGAGGAGCATGGAATTGGAGCAAGCAGACGCAGATGAGTCACTCTGCTCCCAGCTCCAGCTTACAGCCTGCTGCACTCATGCCCACAGTAGGCACAGCCTTGCCAAGGGGACTCTTGTACCTGAGTCTCTTGGCTGGAATGCCCTTTCTTGGGCAGGTTTCAGAAGGCAATGCCAACACCACCTTCTACGAAGCTCTTTTTTCTATGCATACTTGGCTGACCAACACCTCTTAAGAGTGTGCGATGTGCTCTTTCCTTAGAATTGTGACTATTAAATAAGTAACACATTTAAAGCACTTGGGACACAGTAAGCTCTCAGCAAATATCAGTGATTATCATTACTACTATTATCGGAATTATTAATATATTCAATCCAGTTACATTCAAGTATAGTGGGGCCTGGGGCACTTTTCTCTCTTCAAGGTGACTTCATTTTCCCACTTTGCTCTTTATGCCCAGGTGTTGAATTTCCAGGTTCCTGAAGGAAGCCTCATGCCTCGTAGTGACAGTAAGATGGTGACATACAAAAGTCAGCTGGAATCACTGTCGGAGGATCTGTAAGGTCCTTTTCAGTAAATGAGAAAACACAGGTGAAGCTGCGAGTCCAGTGCTTGGCATGGAATAGAAACTCAACAAGTGTTTATATCCTCACTCACTCACTCTCCGTTATGGGCTGAATTGTGTGCCCTCAGAATTTGTATGTTGAAGTCCTAACCCCCAGGACCTCCGAACGTGACTCTATTTGGAGACAAGGCCTTTAAAGAGGTGAGGAATTCAAAATGAGGTCCGTAGGGTGGACCCCGGCCCAACCTGACCACTGTCCTTGTAAGAGGAAATCAGGACATGCAAAGAGACACCAGGGATACATGCACACGGGGACAACCACGCAAACAGGTGTCAATAGGGTGGCCATCTGCAAGCCAAGGAGAGAGGGTTCAGAGGAAACCAACCTGCTGGCACCTTGACCTTGGACTTCCAGCCTCCAGAACCGTGAGAAACAAATGTCTGTTGTTTAAGCTACTCAGTCTATGGTATCTTGTTATGGCAGCCCGAGCAGACTGTTACTGTCCCCTTTTGAGAACAAATATTTTTTGCAGCTCTGGACAGCGGAAATCTGTAGTTTGACTTACAAGAAGTCCCTGATCCCTCTGTGGACCTGAAGGTCTGTTTTGTGAGGTGAGGACGCATGTTTTCCCAGAAGGACTTGGCTGCTGGGCCTGGCACTCAGGAGACGGTTCCTCACTAGCTGAGGAGGGAAGTTCCATTGGCTTCACAACCCCCCCAGATCCTGCACAGAGAGCCGAGCCTGGGAGCCTCTCGGAGGAAACCCCACTGGCACCACGGATATGAAAAACTGTAAAATCACAAATGACAGATTCGTGACTTCCCCAAGGGAATAAATAGCGAGAACAGATGGGCCCTGAGGCTGGGAGATTTCATTTAAATCTTAATAACGTTTTGATAATTTAATGAATGTGGTGAGAAAAGAATAGCAAACTAGTACCAGCAAGCCAAAACACAGTTTGTCCACCCTGGTGCTCACCCAGGATGATTTTCTCGTAAGGAGGGGTGCAACAAGCTTCCAGGGACAAAGTATGTCCCGAGGGATTAGAAGCATCCTCTCTGAACTAGCAAAGCGAAACACCTTGTGATGGGGGGACATTCAGAGCAACCCAATGCACCCCATTGTCCCTACACACTTCTTCAGGGCACCTCTCTGGGCAACAGTGCACTACACGGTCCCAGGTGACTTCCAGGTAAAGAAGTAACTTCGAGACATACAGGAGACAGACAGCAAGTGTGCTCAGAGCTCAGGATTGTCTCCCCGAGAGATGCTCATCTAGGAGATCCAGCCTGTTCCCACGTAATCGCTCCTTGCTCATCTCTGGAGACCTTCAGTGAAGACATGCCCAGTATAGAGAAAAGAGCACTGGACCAGGAGTCTGAAGGCCTGCATCACAACTCTACCACACACCAACTATGAGACTGGATGAGCGACAGCTTCTCTGTAAAGTGAGCATAATATTTGCTACCTTGCTTGAATTTGTTGTAAAGAGCAAACGAGGTCTACTTTTTAGAAAATCGTAGGCAAATAGCTGGCATTCAACAAATGCAAATCCCCCCCTATTTGTTCCCACAAATAGCACTGTGTGCACAGGGGCCCATGCGTGTTTACTGCACGGATCTTGGCTTTCTAGGTTATTCCTGGATAAACAAATGCAGGCCCTGTGGTTTTATGGCCCACCCACACCATCTCGTCCTTAAGCTCTTATGTAAATAGATGTCTTAGAAAGTGCAGGACTAAGGACAGACAAAAGGTTGGGGAAGATGAGCCCCAGATGCAAAGAATCTTAACTGGGATGTCCAGTTTTGTTACATCACTCAGAGACAAAGTGAAACTAGAAGCAGCAGAAAGGATGGAGGGGGAGCCAGAACTTGGGGCACCAGCTCTGCAGCAAGTGTGCTGGCACGGAACGAGCAGGGGACTGGTGTCCAAATGGCTCACAAGGCAGAAGGATGGAGCAGAGTCAAGCCAGCAGGAGAAAGCTGAGAGATTAAAGAGGATTCAGGCAGAGAAATCAACCCCAGGCACCCCTGCTTTCCCAACTGAGTCCCCAGGCAGCATGTCTGGGACCCCATTCGTGAGCATCATGACTTAAGTCTTGACAGAGGGGAGGGAGGGCATCTTTGATAACCACCTACTCTGATCATCTTACCTGCATCCACAACATCTCTGGCCTAACGGGACATCTATCAGTGAAATACGTTTATAGTACTTGACATAGTGGGAGTTTACCAAAATGGGGCCTCTTCAGCACATATTGGGAATACAGTCTTTGTCGTGAGACTCCTGGAGTCAACGGATAAGCATTACTTTCAAAAATATTATTAATAAAATAGATGTTTCTTGAGGTGGGTACAGAAGGGAAGAGAGTGGCAGAGAGGAACTAATTCCCTGATTGGGATGAGGACCCATGTGGTTCAAGAGAGCTGATCTCATTTGCTTCCATTTTTAAGCCAGCTCCTTTCTCTTCCCTTCCAGCTAGGCGGTGCCCTGTTTGGTCTGCCCATCTGTTGAGTCTACCTTCAGAGAAAAAAGAAAAAATTTTATGAAAGGGTAAAAATTATGAAAGAATATAATAGACGTGAAAGACAAAGAAACGAGATTCTACTCAAGAATTATGGAAGATTCTAGAAGGAAAATAAAAACAATCAGTGATTCTGTCATTGGGTCTCAAGGTCTCAATCCTTGGCTGCACGCTAGGATCACGCTAGGATTTACTTTCTTTAAAAAATTCAGTTTGCCAGCCCCATCACTAGAGTTCTGGTTTAAGTATTCTCAGGAGGGTTAGGAAATTGATTTTTTAAAAAAATAAACTCCTCAGCTCATTCTGATGTACAGCCAGGATTGAGAACCACAGCACTAGATAAAAACTTGCCTAATGAGATGAAAATTTTGACTCTTCTAATCAATAGAGCTCACTAAATTCCAAGGAAAGTTAGCCCTACCCGGACACCTTTTTTATTTCAAAGAGAAAATTTAAAAATAAGTTTTAACATAAAAACAAAGATGTGTATGTTCAGAAACTACTTCCCTGCCACTTTAAACTATGGGAGATAATTTGCAGGAATCTTAAGGGAGGGCATATCTCGCAGAGGTTAACAGCTCAGCTTCAGAATCAGAAAGCCTTGGGTAGGTGCCCAGCTCTGCCATTTACCATCCGAATGATCTGGGGTAAACCAGGAGAATTCAATGAGATACTGAATTTAAAATACCTAAAGCTTAGTACATAGTAAGTTCTCAATTAGGGTTAGTTTCTATTATTTTATTATTATTGTTTTAACATACAAAGCTTTATAAAGAGACCAAAAATAATCATTGAATAATTAAAGAAATAGACCATGTTCTGAAATGCCAAGTCTCACCAAATTAATTTGTAATGCAACTATGTAAATATAAATGTAAATTGTAATGGAATTAAACTGTAATTCCTATCCAAATTCCAACAGGATTTTTTTAAAACAATGTGATGAGAAAGGCAACTTTTGTTTTTCTGAGTTGCTGCCTAGGCATCTTACGGTATTTCAACCCTGCTCACATCCAGAGTCTGGACATTTAGATAAGGACCCAAGCTTAGAATTCTCACCATAAATTCCCACTTTGCTTTTCCCAGGGGACCTTTTAAAATAACCACTTAGAGTTAAGCACAAGAAAAGCTAGTGACCTCTGCCCCAACCATCTTATCAGTAATAGATGCTTGCTACCCTGCTTTCTATCTCCTGCTCGCTTATGACCTGGGATGGAGAACGGCCCTTCTCCCAGCTCACTGTGCCCCCTCGCTTCTAGGATCTGTAAATAATAAATCTTGTGACTCTAATTCTTTTGTGTGGATGTATTGAAACTGCATCTTCAACCAAAATGACCCCCTGGGTTTCACTTCCCCAAACTGGGAGCTCGGAT